TCGTCAGCTTCAACTGTGTCAACAGGAACATTAACTTATTTTCAGCGATTAAGTGAAGGAATCCTGAGGCATTCGAAAGGAATATGAATAAACACAGTTTCTGTTTGTTCTCCCATCTCGTAGTGCTGCTCCAGTGTGTTTCTGGCTGCTTCATAATAACGTCAATTTGCTTTGTACCTCACTTGGTACATTGCTGTGTGTTTGAATCTGTGCAGCTACAAGGGATACCAGTTGGGGGTGGGGTGTGGTAAAATTTACATTTGACCTAGAAGCAACTGAGTTAATTTGTCTTGTTTGTTTGTCCAGATTAAACGAGGAGGGAAAATCAATGCCCTGTAGCCTCCCGCTCTCATGCATTCAGTCACTATGGGAAATTTAGAGATACCAGTTCACGGAACTGCGTGTTTTTGATTGGCAGAAGGAAACCATAGTTTCCAGAGGACATCCCAACGAATTCAGAACCTGCTAGAACCACACACAGATCCAGGGCCGGGAATCAGGCCCGCATTCCTAGAGGTGTGAGGCTGAAGTGTGACCCACTTAGCCATCATGTGCCCAGTTATTTTTGCAATTCTTAGTGAAATGTATGCTTTAGTGGGTATTTCTGGTTTATAAATTTTTAATTTCCCAAATTGACATGAGGGTATACAGTATTTCATAAGGTCTGAGCACTCCGCAGTACCTGATGAATATTTTGAAATAACCATTTCGGTGTGGGGGATAATTAATAGATTTGGTTAATATCACTGTTGGTGTTATTACATCAGCTTAATCGTTAAAGGTTAAGGATACAGCATGCCCTCCACCTGCCATCTTCATCTCCAAAACACGACCAACAGGTCAACCAGGTGTGGTCATGATCATCATCAGAGTTGGCCTGGAGAACAATTTAATTATATTTCATTAACTGCATTACATAGTTCAAAAACCAAATCAAATCTCAGTCTGGCTGATGTATGGCAAGGAAGCTTCTTTCTTCACTGTAAACCAGGTATGAAATTTGCATGTCTGAAGCATTAATATGCACGTGTGATATTTGTCTTGTATCAAACTGTGTTAAAACTGAGCTTACAATTACGCCTCAGGTATTTCCTGGATGTAAACCGTTGGTTTGCGATGACTTTCCAGGAAAACTCGCAGCTGTGCCTGGACTGTTGGCTCTCTGAGCCCATTTGGCACCAGTATGTGCGCTAAGCTAATAAATGGGCAACTACAAGCATTGTTGGAACAGTCTTGCCGTTTGCAAGCTTTACGCAGAGTACAGAGGGGAAAGCTGTTGCTTAAGGGCTGGCCATCTCTTTCCCGCCATCAGTGGATGCTATGCTGCCTAGGGCCCACAGGGGGCGTTGCCATCTGTGCAGTGAGATGCAGTGAGATGCAGCTGCTGTTTGCTGCAGGTCTGTTGCCAGGCTCCACACGTCGTGTGATTCTCAATCCCTGCAAAGACTTTTCAGGTGGAATCCTTCCATTTCCGCTTTTTGTGGAGTCTCTTCTAAGGAAGTTTTTCTCCTTGCTTTTTGCATAAACACTCAGGGTTTCTGGCCCGTGACGCAGTGCTGGTAGCTGGCAGTAAAGTGGGCCACCTTGATGCCTGCCTGGCACACTTGGCAGGTCTCTTAAGCTACTGGTTCTGTCATCTGTTCTTTGGGGCCCCTCTTAAGTTGATTGGGGTCAAGGAGGTGACTTCCTGCTTTGTTTTCCCTTGGCCATGCAGAAGGCCCTGCGGCCCTTTTGGCTGTGCTCACACTCTACAAACTCAGAGGATCTCTCCTCTGATAAAGAGTCTGAGGTCAGATCAAAAGGCAAATCACTGAAGTGGGGCTGTGAATATCACCCTTTTGAATTGCTGATTTAATGGTGCAGCTTGATCAGCATAAAGCCATTCATTCATATGCTCATTTTATGTCTCTGCAAGGTGATTTACTACTTTGTGCGCTTTTCTGACTGTTAAGTGTTTTACTGGGACCTTCCTGGTTCTCTTTCAGTGCCAGTGAACAGCAGCGTCTGTCCTGGAGCTC